GTTGATAGTCACTGCTGTTTTATAGAGATGCCAAAGCCAGGAGAATACTGAAAACCTGGCAGCTATAGTGCTGTTTCCATCCATGCACTAAGGCTTATTATCATTTTAAGTCTGTGCCAAGCATATTCAAACACTAGTCATTAACAACACAGTGTGTTTCAGTGTCCACAGTCATTGCAGCCTTGCAGGGAGTGCAGAACCCCAGTGATTAGATGTGCTGCTGGTTACTGCTTGGAAAGTTTCAGAAGTCTTGATTTGCAATTAGATCTTCTGCAAGTATTTGATTCTTCTAATGTCCTACACAAGTTTCGTGCTGTATCTTCTTCCCATTTTTTCTTTTGTATTAACTATTTTACTTAAAAATTCTCTTTTCAAAGATGCAAATGAACCCAACTATATGGGAAATTGTTGTTAATGTAAAAAGATTAAATAGCAGGATCCCAAGAACTGCTTAGTTAAACCCATATATTTACTATATATATATATAAATATAGTCATTGAACAATATATGTATTAGTCTGTAGCTAATATCTGCTGTTGCTAATTCTCATTCCTGCCTTATGTAAAAGCATAACATATGTAGGAAAAATTTATAATTGCTGGACATAATGTGTAAGCAAATAGTAAAGAAAACTAAATGTGAAGAAAATTTCTTTCTCTTTCCTTTGACTGCTGACAACAGATGCCCAGTGGCATCTATAGATGTAATGCTTTACATGAGATAAAATAATACAGCAGTATTTCAAAGTGGGAAATAGTATATTTTAATGAATATTTGTCTAATAATAGCAGGTGGTTTTCTCTATGGATAGCTAAGCATAGAGTAATGCTTCCTATTTTAAAAAGAAGATTCATCTTTCTCTCCGCTGTGAAAATCCCTGAGCTCTGAAAACAACTAGTACAGGGGAGAGTCAAAAAATTTCTATTTCTTGTTTATTAATTTTGCTTTTGTAATGGCTTTTGCTGGATATAGCTTTCCCTTTCTTACAAAAACCCTTTCCTTTGTTCTTGCTCATCTACAAAAGAGGTTTAATCTTCCTTGGGATGGTCATTTGGTGTCTCAATCTTGTCTTTATAATAAATTCTGAAATCACAACTGTTCTCTTGTTCCCTTTCCCCTGTTTTCACTTCTTTCTCCTTATATACTTTATATGTAAATCAGCTTTCACTTCACAAACTCACACACAGTACAAATCTATCACTTTCAACATGTGCCAATGTCGTGTTTGTAATCTAGGATTCAATAGCAATGGTGCTATCAATTGTTTCTCAAAGTAGGTCAGAAAATGTTTATAAAATGGAATAATGTATTAATAATGTATAACAATATATTTTGCCTAGTCTCCAGACTCCACTTTATTAAAACCATCCAGTAACATTGACAAGGTGGTAACAAGCTTCTGAGTTCATTTTTAGGAGAAAATGATTCACAAACAGGATAGTGACAGGCTTTTATGATTACAGATCTCACATGTTCTGTTCCTTCAAAAGGGCTTATATAGATTGATAGAGCTACAGAGAGAGAAATGAAAAAAAATGAAAGGAAGAGATATAAATAGACTTTTTCATTAGGATGAATGATGGAAGGTATTAACCCCACTACAGCAGTGCACCTTTTACATGTCGTCTTCTTTATTCCTTTTGACCTGCTATCATCTTCCTGCTAAGTAAAGTTAACTATAGTCTGAAATGTAAGTAAGGTGAGCAATAGCTGGAAATAAATGTTTCCTCAAGCATTATTACTGTACAGAAAAGTGTCCATCAGATGAAATGTCAACCTCAAAATCCATTTAAGCACTGCTCAGAGGCTAAGCAGGCAATTATTATTAATTTTTAAGTCTGCCTGACAGGTTTCAGACCAAGAACTGGGGTTAACTTGGTGCACTGAATATTGCAAAATATATTTAATTAGGGAGACAGTGACTCTCAGATGGCTGAGGAATTATTCTGTGCAAACCACTGCAACACTACTATAGAACAATAGCATTTATCTGTGGAAGCATCTGCATCATATTAAAATGCATACAACTGATCTTTCATTGCAGATTCTCCAACTTTTATCCTAATAAATCACTGTCTACATTTAACCTGACAGTTCTGAAGCACTACTGTACTTATCTCTTACATAAGGTTTAGTTCATTATGCTCCAAGTTAACAAAGCGGATTTTTTCAGAAAAACTCCTGTTCTTCTCAGCTCATTACTAAACCAAATCATCTGTCCACCATGTCTTACATGAATGTTTCTTCATTCAAAACAAATCTGTGGAATCGATATAAATGATGCAACATTGTAACATGCACCAGACTACTAACAAATAAATATGGATTAAGACACAAATTAGTGCAAAGGGTTATGTAGTTGATTTTGAGTGACTTCAGAAGCTCATATTAAAATAAAAGTACGAAATGGGAAATTATTTAACTCTCCTGGTTGTGAAACCTGCTAGATGTATCCATTCAGCCTCCTCGCCCACCTTCCAGCATTTGCTGGCCTTGACACATGATCCTATGGTTATTGAAAAAATGAAGTTCCACAGGTATCTGGAAGGTTATATATAAAGGTACAAGTGAAAATGCTAATGGAGTCCAATCATAATGAAGACCATAGAGAGAGAATTAGACCGTACTTTTCAAGATGAGTAAAATGATTTTCCAAAAAAAAAGGTAACAAAATACTGTAGTCAGGTTTGACACCGGTAGTGTAGACAAGCAGAAAATAAATTCTGCTACACAGAAGGAGCGCTGGGTTGATTATGGATAGTATATCACCCTAACACCTAATGTATTTATTTCATTGTTTAGCAAACATGTCAACAGTTCTTGATTCAAGTGAGTTAAATTTCCACTGGTATATGACATGAAACTCTCAAAGCTAGTAAGATTGGCAAGCAGGCAGAGAAAACTGAAGAGAGCCCTGGCCGTCAAAGACAGACCTTGCCTTGACACTTCTGAAGTGCGCACATAAAGGAGCAAGGCCATTAACTTGACAATAACCCTCTTGTGAGAGCTTGAGCATCTACTACATGTGCTCTCTGGCAGATGACTGTATTTTCCAATAATGTATTATACACTTCGGTGTGATTTTTCTATTTCTTTCACACAGGCCTAAAACACTGCTATGTGAAGCACACCAGTAAGGACCAAACAAAATCAAAAGGAATATAGACACACTTATGTAAAAAGTAAACGGTCTGATTTCCCAGCTACCAACATGTCTGTGTCTGCGCGTGTACGCGCATGTCCACACATTACTAGTCTGCTAACTAAACATAATGAAATCTCTGTCTTCCTAATGAATCTTCCAGTCTTCCTAATCATCTGATAATGCCCAAACACTCCATGAATTTTGTTAGCAATTGTGTCATTAAGTTTCCAGATACGAATGTGAAGCCCTCACTCACCAGAGGCAGGTGAATTGTCTCTTGAATTCACTAACAAAAGACCCTGCTACACATCCCGAACTAGACTGCTGCTGTGCTTCCATTCTATCCTTTACTGATATCCTGTGTCACCAGTTCCAAACTAATCAGCAATTCCTAGCTATCTCTGGAAGTCATGTTTAGCTTTTTCCTCCACCTTAGGACCTGCATTTCAGGTTGCTTCGCCAACTGTTCATGTTTTTAACGTACTGCACCAGTTTTCACCCAGGTTTCCTGGACTGTTGCTTACTACACTATGTACGCAGAATGCTTGGGACCCCTTCCCACTTGGTATTATCTGAGAATTTGTTTGATATCTTGAGCGGACCATAGTATAGTGTGCAACATTGGAAAAAAAATATTTTGTTTAAGGTTCTTCAAACTCTTTTCAGTCAAAAAGTCTGATTTTCCATCAGAGGCATGAATTACTTGAATTATACTTTCAATAACGTTTTCAAGATATTACCAAATGCTTTTCTCAGATCAGAAGTAATTTAATTTCCTTTCTTTTTTCTTTTCACTTCACCCACTAGTGCTAATTCTACAAAGAAACAAACAACTATGTTAAGTTTTATGAGTGCTTATGAATAAATATTTTATTGTATATCATTTATCCTATAGCTGTAAAAGGAATTTTATTCTTGCTGTTAGTTCCATTTTTTCCCTCTAGAGATAAGTATACTGCATAACTATATATATATGAGAGAGAATAATTGACATCACCACCCATTCTCTCTTTTTTTAACAGACTTGTTTGCACATTTGTTCCTCTTTGCTCAGCCAGTATCATTCTAATTTCAGTTCTGCTTACAAACAGCGAGGATAGTCTGTGAGTAGGGGACTTTGTCAGGCAGTCATCATCATCCCTTTGCACGCAGCAACGTTGTTAAGCATTCAACATATTCCAATTTTTGAAATGCTCATTTAAAGACTTTGAATAAATACTTTTTAAACGGTGTTCAAACTGCCATTTTTTTTTCCAAAATGGATGGAGATATAAACTTTGAATAAATACTTTTTAAATGTTCAAACTTCCATTTTTTTTCCAAAATGGATGGAGATATATTTGGGTTATATCTCTATCTATATCTCTATATATTTGGGTTTACTTCATAAAGGCAGTTTAAGAACACAGGGTCAGCAGCTCAGATATACAATCCAGTTAATTATAAGCATTGGACGTGTCTATCTGACTGTCAATGAGAGTGGTGCTGAACACTGTACATGGCTAGATCTGCCATCTGCCATTAACTTTCCAGTCAACAAAATGATCATTAAAAAGGACTTTCATTCAAATCTAAATGTAGATGCATAAAAATTTATATGTATGCACTATGCTTTTGAGCAGTATTACCCTAAGGCATGTAAGCAGCTCACAGACCTCTATCAATGGGTTTAATAAGTGTGGTCCCGATATCTGTAGTACCCAAGTAAGCATGTGTTTGAAAAAAATTTTGTATATGAATGCCACATTCTCCAGTTTTTCAGATTTTGTTCTTCATCTTGGTAGCTAATGCAAGACTAAGTCTCACCCCAGATCATGTGGCTCCAGAGATGGATAGGTGTGTATCAGTACTTACAGCTGTCCTCTTCCTCCATGAAAATACTGATCACGTAGCAGGCATACACAAACCCAATCAGCTGCATGAAAGAAGAGGAAAAGCAATCATTAGGACACTTTGATCCCTTATTAAGCTTTCCTTACATACCATACTATATAAATACAGGTGTCACTACTGTATTTAGAAAAAAATTGCTTTTATTGCCTGAATTTCTATGTAAATATCAGCGCATGTGATCACAAAAAGCTAAACTAAACAGACTCTCTGCTCATGCTGTGTTATATTCTTAAATCCTTTCCCCTTTTCCAGACCATGCATAGTGTTTTGTATAATACTGTTTGAAGACACTGAGATCTAGATGTTCAGCTCTTACTTACATCTCTTTGTTTGTTCGACACCTCAAATGATTTTATCCACACGAACGCTAGCCCCCTATGAACTTAATTTTCATGTTAAAAAGTTAAAACCTTTACTGGCTGTTAAGGAATTAATTAAGCCATAGTCGAGTTATTGCAGAATTCACAAGAGTGGTCATTTGTGTTATATGAAGAGTTTCTGTGAAAAACTGCTTGGCAAAAGTTTAATATACTCTGTGAAAAGTCAGGATGCTGCTAAACTATAAAACATGCAAAGCAGAAAATACCTTCTCAGCACGGCCTGTCAGCAAATCACATTGACTATGAAAGAAATGAGCAGACTCATTTCCCCAAAGGACAAAATAAAAAAAAAATCATACCAGTGTTTTAACAGTAGCTCCAGGAAAAAGTTCTTCCTCAACTTGTTTCTGTGTGGCTTGTGCTACGGAAAGGAAGGGATTAAGATTCTCTGGAAAGAGGAATAGAAATTTTGCTCATTCCTTTTCCATGGTGATAAAATGTTTCCTTCTGACTGGCACCAAGAAGGAGAAAATTCCACGAGACAAGGAAAATCTATTAAATTGCACTGCCGAGACATAGTCATGCTTGAGAAAATACTGTTTGTGCAGCTGTACTCAGTCCATGTTATCTGAAAGCCTTGAAAAGATTGCTTGTGAGAGATTTCTAAAATAACCCAGAGATTAGTATTTTTTTTAAATCCTTTTGGTGAGGTCCATTGAAAAAATCTAATTAAAATAGTTCTTTTAAGAGTGTCACGGATCAGCCATCTGAGAAAGAGGTGATTTAATAGTATCTAGACAGGTGTAAGCTCCTTCGGGGGTGCTGAGATCATTCCAGCCTTTCTTGTTGGGCTTCGCCAGCAGCTTTGCAGGCACTTACAAGAGCCTCTCTACAGACAAAAACCTTGTCTACGCCAGGAAATTCAGGGGAGTTAAGATGAATTAACTAAAGCTGTAAAAATCAATGCACGTAAGATAAAGTATATTAAATCCCTGTGTGTCCTTTCCCATTCAAAAATAAAGTGGCCTTAGTTCATGGTAGCTTAATCCTCCTCCAAGGGATTAATCTTCCCCAGGGAGAAGGAAGCTGCAGTACACTAAAACCAAGTTCCTTGTAAACGAGAGCTGTCACGCTGCGGTGGCACCGTCCTGCCACGGATTCCTCTCGGGATACCCCCTCACTGGTGCTTTCTGAAGGAGTGTGTGTGAGTTTAATCCAACTTTCCCTTTGCTCTGAGCTGGCTGCAGCATTGACGGTTTCACTACGCAACTTAACTGTATGGATGCTCTGAGACAGCTAAGTGCCAACCAGCTCCCAAATGGTCACGGAATAACCCCAGTTAGGACAGAGTCATGCCTGGGTTAACAACTCCTGCTAAGCAGAGCTTGCTGGCGAACACACAGGTTGCGGCAACAGTGGCTACTGGGTACGCATGAGATATACACCATAACATAACGAATAAAGACTATACTCAAGATTTTAGTTGAAGATTTATAAGCAGAGAAAAATACTTTTTTAGTTCAGAGTTTTGTGGGTTGACGCTGATTTGCATGGGAACACACACAGAGTGTAACTTCAGCACTATAGTTTCCATTCATTGAGAAGATGTGTAATGCTCACAGCTACTGAGGGTGTTGCTGGATTACACCAGGCCATATCCTCGCAGCAGAGAAAGAGATTTCCACTCTAATATATAATAATCTACTTGACACAATGAAGAAAATTACAGGAAAAAGCTAAAAAAGGAAAACTTCTCTCCAAGAAAGTATGGTGTTTGGAAAGTCTGTGGTTTTTTTAACAGTCATAACAGCTTACATTTCGCTCTTTCCATAGATCTTCACTTTAAAGTAAATTTTTTCCCACTCACTTTACTGTCTGACACTTACTTTGTTGTAATGTCTTTACCTAATCTCTGATCTTCTTTCTTCAAAATCAGCAGCCTCTCTCTGCTTCTCAGTATTTCTTTATAATTCTCAGCATTAGCAGGTAAACATTTCTCAGTCAATCGGATTGAAATCACTGCTACGTGCCATGTTTATGGCATATACTTGTTTAAAACATACCACTTCTCCCCTGACTGATTACTTATTAAAAGCTGCAGAAATAAAAATATATATTCAACCAATCTCAATTACACAGTCTTTGGCAGGAAAAAGGGAAGATCAGATATCTAATCATGCTGGAAAGCTTCTTAACTCTCTGTCCTCTATGAATATCCTTCTGTGATTAAATGAGAGAATGCATATTTTTAAAAGAATAAAGGAACAAAGAGAAAAAGAGCCCTTTAACATCTATTGTTGGTTGTAATGGACAGTAATGTTTACCTTGTAACTAACATACTAGCAATTACAATTGGGCAACTGATAACTACAGCACAATTAATAGGAAGTGATAAAGTGGGAATACACCCTTCTGCAGACTGGACTTGTCTGCAGATCTTTAAACAGAGTTACATCCACCACAGTGTGAATAATTTTATAAATGAATTAATTAAAACTTCTTCCTTTGCTTTATTGATGGACACACTAATAAAATATTTATTCCAACAAATTACTTTTGCTATCTTGATTAACCCAGCTGCTGTTTAATTAATAACGTTATGCTCTTGTGAACCCATCTAGCCATCATGTTAATTGCCAATTTGCAGTGAGCTGGCTGACGTGTGCTGCCTGGTTTCTTGATATTGGAAAGGCTGGCTATTGGCCTGGCACCAAGCGATAGGCTTAAATCTGTTGTTTTCTGATAACTAAAGAAAACACATGGCAAATGACCTAGAAGATACTTAATTTGCTCATCTTGATTTTCAATAAGCATTCAGAGAAACAACTGAGCCAGCTGGACTGAGATGTCTGGGACATCTCTAGCAACTAAAGGAGCAAGTGAGAATCTTCAGCCCAGTCCTGAGAAGAAGCCACATCCCAAAGCGGACTTGTCTTGGCAATGCTGAGCTCCAAGATATAAAAGCCTTCTGGAATCAATGACTTGTTGTCATGGCAAATGACAAGTTGACCATGAGGCAGCAGTGTGCCCTTGTGGCCAAGAAGGCCAATGGGATCCTGGCCTGCATCAGAAGAAGCGTTGCCAGCAGGTCAAGTGAGGGTATCCTGCCCCTCTGCTCAGCTCTGGTGAGGCTGCACCTGGAGTATTGGGTGCAGTTCTGGGCTTCCAACAGAACTAGAGGCCACCAACAGAACTAGAGGTAATGGCCACAAACTGAAGCACCAAAAGTTCCCCAGGAAGGAAAAAAAAAAATTTAACAGTGAGAGTGACAGAGCACTGGAACAGGTTGCCAAGAGAGGTTGTGGAATCTCCTCTGGAGATCTTCCAAACCTGCTTGAATGCAGTCCTGTGCCACGTGCTCTAGGTGACCCTGCATGTGCAGGGGCCTCAGACTAGATGATCTCCAAAGGTCCCTTCCAACCTTAACGATTCTATGATTCTATGAATCCCTCCTCTGTCCATGGGGTTGCTTTTCTCACCTGCAGATCCCAATTTAGTAAACTTCCTCAGAAGACACTTTCTGAAAAAAATGAGATGGGAAGATGCTGGTATCCCTGATTTTGTCAGGCTGTACAGTGGCACAGTATACATCCTGCTCTAGATAAAAAATATCTATCCACCTCTGGGGTAGATAAATAAAATAAAATAAAATAAAATAATAAAATATTTGTCACAATAAGAACTGTGCTCTCCTCTGATTAATCTTTCTAGTGGAGTTAAAGTGAAACAGACCTAGCCAAGAAAATGAAATAAACCTCAAATAAACACTGGCCATGGCTAGATACAAGACGCTGATCAGTCTTGGAGAACCACCAGTGTTTTGACAGCAGAAATCTTGTTTCTTACATGACCAGCTGATAAACATTGCTTACATTCCCCAAATCACGCTGATTAGAAGACTCAGGGTTTGAGAAACTATTGTCACCTTAGATGTGTATTGTGGAAGAGATTTTTTATTAGTGGAATATAAGTACGTTTATATGAGGTTATTATCAAGACTTACTGTGTAATCTATTTTCTGCTGATAGCCTTAGGTAGACGTGAAATTTTAGGCTCTGCTATTTGATTCCTGTGCAGACAGAATAGTCTCTAGAGGACTTAAATGCTTCAGTCTAAGTAAAATCTCCAGGCTTAAGATATGGACATCTGCATGAAATATAAATGCCTAGTTTAATAGAAATGAAATTAGATTATATAATTGTCCATCACTAAATGGTTAGAAACTATGAAAACTTGTAAGAAATTAAAAAAACTAATCACCCGAGCAAATATGTGCACTGCTGTATGATTGCTTTATAAATGAATACTACTATAATCTATCCTACTAAAAATGAACCAATCCAAGTACAAAATATATATATACTTGTGAATTAATGTATTTTATTTGTTACCAGATAACACAGATCAACCTTTCCTTAAGAAAATGAGGAAAAATATAAAATAAATTAAAAATGATTATTTAAATCAAGGTTATCATTTTCAGATTGATTTCTTTTACTGAAATTATTTAAATCATTTTGATTTAATTCAGTCTACTTGGCTTTATCATCATCAGTTCTATATACGATAGCTCTCCTATCTGCTTTGTACACTGTAATACATGCAGCTGGTTAAAGGAGATACGTCAGTGCGTACAGGATATTTAAGATTAAACAAAACTGTGTCCTAAACTGTTGGATTAATCTTCAAGATCAGGTGTAC